TGTTTGTTTATGTATGTTTTGTGTTTGTTGTAAAGAATAAAAAAATTTATTAAAAAAAAAAGATACACAAGTAATTGTATTAGCCAAAATTAATCACTACCTTCATTGATAACTGGCATAATAAAAAATGGTTTCCCCCCCCCCCAAAAAGATAATCTATATAAATTATTACGATAATGTAAAATTAGTTATTTTGAATTATTATGAAGATTTGCCTCACAATTTTTATTGTGCCATTTCTCTTATTTTGAGTAACATTTCATTGATTTGTATATGTTTTCACATACTGAATGCTGATTACAGCATTTTTAACACAAACACATTTTTGTGTACAAATAAATACAGGAAACAAAAAGCAAAGATAGGAAGTAAAAAAACCTGTTAAACACAATGATGAAATGACAGTTACATCCCAGCAAAACATTTATACCGTAGTTTAATAAATAGTTCAGAACAGTGGTATTACAAGTTACAGATGTAATTATAAAATAGAATGTAATATTAGGTCACACTCCAGCCAAAGCTATACATTTTAAATGTCAACTGATTTTGTTTTCGAAGATGAAGCTATGCTTAATTAGTCAACTGACTCACCACTATTCTCTCTTAGGTCTCTTACAGAAAATAAAATGAGTTTCTGTTTGTGTATCTGGGCACAGACTGCGCACACTCTCAACCCCCACCATGCTGGGTGTTCCGGGTGCTTATACCTTTCACCTAATTTGAGCGTATAATTTGATTATACCTATATGCATGCGACCACCCCTCCATAACTATGGAATATGCGAACAGCGCGGAGCGATCGATCTATGAAGTGTTGCCTAGGTGAAAATCGACCTGAGTAGTTGAGCACCTCCATAGGACAGTTCAATCTCAGGCAAATTCTAATTGGTTCTTCAGCTTGATCTAGCGCACGCGCACTTTCTTTTGGTTTGGTCGGCAGCAGCGGCGTCGATTCGCGGCGTTAGTTTTGATTTTTCTGCTATGCTGAGTTAGAGTTTATCATGTATGGAGTACATTCGAACTATTTGAAAACAACGGCTGCGGTCGGGGTGTGGCTGACTGAGGAAGATGTTCGAGAGAGAGTCAACCTGAGGCGCCAAAATCTCGGTGATAATCCAGCTACTGCATTGGGTGTGGGAAGTGGGAATGTGGCTGACAGAGAAGTAGACTTCAAAATATATTTTGCCGCCGTTCTACGTCGTATTAGGAAGAGATGACGAAAAGCGGCAAAAGACGGACAGAGAAAATACTGGAACGAATGAGGAAGTTCGAGTGTGTTGTTTGGCAGATCGCTTTCTAACGGGGCAGAATGATGTTTGAAGAGAATGGCTCTTTCTTAGTATTTCTTAACTCTTGAGAATTAGAGGAATTGGGCTCATTTTCATATGAATCAGTTGGAGAGCAGATGTTACATTTTCGGTGGATTGGAAAAAAAGTATCCACGAAAATTAGAGCATTTCTGTCTGGGAAGATTTTAAAGTAAATCATAAACCGATTGATTTGTAAGCACACTGAAAACTGGGGTAATTACCATCAAGTTGGACAAGATTTGCCAGGCTAACTTTGTTTCATTTTTTATTGCTGTTATTGGATTATAGAAGTGTTATCGTTAGAAATGCTATTAGAAGTTATTAGACATTACTGGATTATAGAAGTGCTGTTATAGAAATGTTATTGGATTATAGAAGTGCTATAATGTATCTTAAGGCTTCACAGCTGCTGCAAACTGCATGCAGTGGGTGAGTGCCACCACAACCGGTCGTGTCCTTATGGATTTATTTTGACATCCATATGTCAAAATCATGATGTTATCACATAAAGAATGCAATTTCTTACTTGTGTCATATCTGACATAAGTACCTAAATTGAGTAATTGGCATTATGATGCCCCTATTATCATCCCCCCCCTCCCCATATGTGGCTGCAGCAGTGGTTCCAGGTACAATTCAAGGTGCTAGTTATTAGTATAAAATCTATATGGCTTAGGTCCAGACTACTTATAGAACTGTTTTCAGAGAGAATCTACCCATTAATTGCATCAGTCCAGGAGAGGATGATTTCTTGGTTCTGTCAAGTTTGGGGTAGGAGGAATCAGAAGCAAGCCTTTTCCCTGATAGCCACAGTCTTGTAGAATATACAGGTAGTTCTTGTTTACTGGCCATTAATTCAGTGACCATTCAAAGTAATGATGGCATTGAAAAAGAAGACTTATGACTAGTCCTTGAAGTTGTGGCTGTTTCAGTGTTCCTACAGTCACATGATCGCAATTTGGGCACTTGGCAACTGGTGCACATTTACAACAGTTGCAGTGTCCTGTGGTCACATGATCACCATTTGCAATAACTAATCATTTTAATTTCAGGAAAGCATTTGACAAAATATTTAGTGACCTGATTAGAAGTATGGGCTAGATGACAAAATGGCTACATAGTTGGTTACAAAAACATATTTAAAGAAAATATTATTCCTCATCACAGATTTTTAAAAAATTATTAGCTATATATCTCACTTTTATTTTGTATAACTCCAGGCAGCTTACATAATGTTCCCACCTATTTTGCCCACAGCAACAACCCTGTGAAGTGGGTTGGGCTGAGAGAGTGTGGGTCAAAGTCACCCATCTGGCTTTCATGCCTAAGGGAGGACTCGAACTCACAGTCTCCTGGTTTCTAATACAGCACCTTATCCACTGCACCAAGTGGAATGCCACAAGGTTTAGTCTTGGGCTATTTACTCTTCAACATTTTTATTAATGATCTGGATGAATTAGTGAAGATCAGGCTTAACAGATTTGTAGATGATGCAGTGTTGGAGGAGAAGGTATTAATAAATTGCACAGCTATCTTGATTGGTTAAATAGTTTGGCTGAAAAAAAACCCGAATGAAATTTAATAGAGGCAGAGTTCTTCACTTAAGGAAGCAGAAACAGGTATACAAGTTTAAGATGGGAGATAGCTAAGTTGGTAATAATACATGTGGAAAAGAACCTGGACTAATAGATTGCAAACTGAATATCATTTGGCAGGGTAATATGGTTGTAAAAAGGGCAAGTGGAATTGTAGGTGCATCAAGAGAAACATAGTTTTCCAGCTGCAAAAAAATTATATATTCTGCATTGGTCAGACCCTGTCTTTATTGTATCCAGTTCTGGATACCATCCGAGAAACTAGAAATTTCACGGAGAAGTGCAGATGACTAGGGAATTAATAACTAAATAACTATTTACCAGAAGAGAGATCAAAAATAACTAAATTTTTAGATCTGAAAAGAGAAGACTGGTTAGGGAGATATGATACCTCAAATACTTGAAAGGATGCCTCACAGAAGAAGAGTAAGATCTATTTCAGTTGTTCTAGAATGCATAGAAGGAATAATTGATTTCACGTAAGGAAAGGCAAAATTTGATTGAATGTTACAGAAAAAAGTTACTAGACATTAAATCAGTTTGCTATGGAACCAATTATCCAAGGAAGTGATGGGCTTCTCTTCAGTGGATATGTTCAAGCAGAGGGTAGACAGTCATTTGTCTGGAATGTTTTAATTTATATTTCTGCACTAAAAAGTTGGAAACAATGGCCAAAATGGTGTCTTATAATTCTTTGATTTTTAAAATTTTCCCACTGCTGTACATGTCTAATTTTTTTCCTTATTATTATGAGTGCTGTCAAAATAAACGCATTATATTATATTCCCAACATTTTCATTCTAGCTGATGTCCGATCATTGTCTCTTCCTGGAACTTATGAAAAGATAACTCATTTAGGAAACTCCCTGAAAAAATTTGTTTGTTTGAAGTATCTTGACCTCTCACGCAATGCACTGACTACACTGGAGGTAAAATTTCTTTTGGAGTTTGAATGTTTTCCATTGTACATCTGCTGATTTTATTTTATGAATTTATTAAATGCATCTGTTTACCACCTAACAATTGAAATGGTCTTGACAGTTCACAAAATGTGGAGTCCTTGGGGTTCTCTGAGCTTGGTTGTTTTCTTGCAAACGTTTCATTACCC